TTTTACATCTAAATCAAAATTGTAGAAACCTAAAGTTCGGTATCTGCTTTATTAATCAGTGAGGTCAATGCATGCGTGTAAGAATCTTTTTCAAGTTCAAAGTGTCATACTACGTAGGAAAAACAAAATCAATTGCAAATTTAATCAAAATGCCGAGTATAATAATGTTCATCACAAGTGTAGATTATGAGGTGTTTGGAACTGATTCTACTACTTTTTTAAAGCAGATGCAGAGTCAGAATCAGTTTTGAAAAGCTGATTACCCCTAACTTCTAAAAAAACTGATTCTAGGAGTAAATTAGAGCATCAGAATCGCTTCTGCACTTTCACCCAAACACTCTAGCTTATGCTCCCTGAAAGAGCAAAAGCAATTTTAAGATCCAAACACCCTCTATTACTCCATCTCTTAATTAAGTTTACAATCAACATTTTATGGTCTTCAGTATTAACGTTTGACCATTAATATATAGAAATATACACTTATAAAACTTATACGGAGTAATAAAAATAACATTTCAATAAACTTATACGGAGTATATATTAAAATGAAGCTTTCAAAATTAATTTGGTATTATAAAATAATACGATTTTTGATTAATTGACGATCAAAGTGAATAAAGTTTTACTCAACAAAGTAAAATGGTAAACGTAAATGTGGGACGGAGGGAGTAGATATGGAGTGTATGAGATTGCACCCACCTAGGCCCTAGCTAGCTACTATACACAACATATGTGTGACTGTGTGAGCTCTATTTTATTTGATTTTTTCTTAATGGCCCTTAATGTAGAAAATGCATGTCTTTTTCAAAATATACTACCTCCGTTCCAAATTGAGTTGCAACTTTGACTTTTCTTGGTCAAACAGATTCATTTTGTTCGCTTAATTAGGATGTCAATTTTTAATTATATTCCAATTTGGAATTTACCACTTTGAAAAGATTTCAATGTAGTTTATGTTGGATGGAATATGCATGTAAATTTTAATTATTAAAAAATAAATTAATTATCAATAAGAAGGTTTGACTTTTATTATTGATTGACCAAAAAATGTTGATTTTGCAAAATAATTTGGGACGAAGGGAGTATGTGATACTAAAATTTATTGAGCACATGTAAATGACAACTACTTTTTGAGTATTTACTGTCGCTATTTGTAGCGCTTGAGATGTTATTATCGCGTGTGTTTCTTGTACCACATGCATTAAAACCCTTTATTTTTAATAAATTAAAGGAACGGCTTAAAAAAAGAATTCAAAAAGAAATATTCTCTTGTTTAAACATGTGTATTCGATCTTAGAGATACTAATTAGACCCCATCAAGCAATCAAAGATACCACTAAGATTACGCATAGGATTATAACGAAATACTATACTATTAAGATTCGTTTAGTGATTTTCATGTCAAAATGAGATATTGCGTGTACTGTCTTAAAGATCACATACAGAAAAATAGATACTCGTATAAAATTGACCTAGCTAAAATTCAGCATACATTAACCAACAATTTTAATATGTTTTCTGCATGCACCTTGTTTAATTATATTTTACAAGTAATGACATACGAAGTTTTTTGAAACATTCATAAAAGAAAAGTGAGAACTTTTTTGTGTGATACAGGTAGTATAAGTGTATAACATATCACATTTTTGTTCATTATCTTCATTTTAAACATTATTTACATCAAAAAAAAAAGTTATCATTTCTATAAAACAAAATCACTTATAAGCAAAATGTCTCAATTACTCTTATTTTTTATCTACATTTTGCTTGATTTGACATAAAACAAGGGTATACTTGAAAGTCAAAACAAAACTATAACTTACATAAATATGTGTGTAGGTCAAATCGAAAACTTTTCCACGACGGAGAGAGTGTATGGTGACTATATTAATAATTTTTAATTACTATAATTATATCGAATTTTACATTATAGTGATCATGCATTTCACTCATAGTTTCTTTAATCACGTTTTTGTACTAAGTTTAATTTCGGTAATATATTAGGAAAAACTGATGTATGTCCATTGTTATGATATCTCTGTGTGGTCAGGTGCATTATGAAAAAAAATATTTGTATCAATGAAACCTTGCTACTACTGTTCAAATAACTTCCATACCCAGCAAGCACTAATAAGTTAGGCTGGAAGAATGTAATATAGTGGTAGTAAATAGTCAAAACCACGTCAATGTGGGCTCCACCAGTTTTTCCCTCAGCTTTCTGATGTGTCACCCACCCATCCACTTGGGGCTTACAACTCACATTTGACATTTCTTGTGGGTTCAAACCCACGGCCCACCTAATTTTCAACCCTTCACCTGTTCACCTTATCCAACAATCATTCCCACCTCAACTAAATCTCACCTTTTCCCAAAAAAAAAAAAAGGATGACACCCCATCCCTGAGGGCCCCCCAACACCGACCGGACGACACGATGGGAGGATGTAAATTGGACTATAATCACAATCTGATAGATAGAGAGTGGGGCTCTGTCCCCGGTACTTGCAGAGGCCCTATGCATTTTTCAGCATAGTAACCCCTCATCGCAGTTGCCGGGATTTGAACCCGAGACCTAACCCTTGTGGCACTCCCTTGCTACCAGTTGAGCTACGCCCACCGGTAATCTCACCTTTTCCCTTTTCGGTCCACCCGAAATTAGTTCTTATGTTAGACAAATGGCCTTTGATATTATTTGACTAATTTGGGCTTACCACATCTCAATTTCGTTGTGATTTTTTATTAATCGTGAAAAGTGTAAAAATTTCATTTTACAAGTGTGCAAACTTGCTTTATGAGGCCTCCGAACCGAGCGCCTCAACACGATTTCAGAGTCTCTTCAAAACAAAGACTCTTCATTTTACGGAGTAATTCTTTTTCATACCGTGTTGCGCTTATTGAACAAAAAAGTGCCTCCAATAGTTTAAATAATTTTCGTCTGTGGCGCTTTTGGTACAAAATTATTTTTTCTTACCATTCATGCAGCATTTATTAAAAGAAAAGCGCATCCAACCGCTTTGTTCATCAAGTCTTATATCACTTACTTATACCTTTTTTTAAAGACACTTAATTACACTTTTTTTTAACATTCTTCTAAACATATATATAAATAGTATCTGCTCTAGTTAATGCCAACATCCTTGATTGGGATGAGACTCGAACCTGCGATCTCCTCTTTGGAAGATCAGCAGTGATGTCATCAGACCACAAGGTACTTGATCTTAATCACACTTAAAAATCACCTCTAATTTAAATAACTTTTATTTTGAAAATACTACAATATTTTATTTAGACTCGTTGTTTTAAAGTCTTTACAAACAACTACTACGTATATATTATACGTACATAGTACTCCGTATCAAACATAAAACAATATCAAATTTTTTAACATAACATGTATTCAAATGTAACAATACTACAATAGGGATGGACCGGGCCCGGTCCGGTTCCGGTTCCGGGTCGGGCCCGGGCAGGCTTAGTTTTTCTGGGCCAGTCAGACTGGAACCGGGCCACTCCTATGTAACAACACAAGAATACAAAAAAAAATGGTCTTGAACATCAATCCATGCACTACAATTGAGTGTGTATACGGTACCACCTATCGTACCGATGGCATTTTAATAATTTTAGTTGAAATCATGACTTCTGTTAATTGAGCATCAATATACTTGTATTAAAAATAAGGGTTATTCTATTGAATATTAGAAATCTAATATTGAAAATTGTAATCTCTACTCCATATCTTCTAATAGCTTTTCTCTTTCTTTTTTTATAAAAAATCTTAAATTAAAAATATGTCTGTAATCAACTCCTATGAATTCCTCCAAAATGTGAATCTAATGTAATATTATACTTTTGAAATATATGTTGATGACAATCATAAACCCTACTAGTAGAGTATCAAAACATGTTCATTAATTATGTATTAAGTCTCATTTATTGAACCTTGAAACTCTGCAATTCGGCATAAAATTTCAAAATATATTGAGCAATTGTGTTTACTATTGAGCATTGGGATTATGTGATCAAACTTTTTCGGGGAAAATAATTAAAGTACCTCAAACTTTGAAGAGGTGTGAGATTAGTCATAGACCCGGGCCGGGCCGGGCCCGGGTAGCCACCGGGTCCGGTTCCGGGCCGGGCCGGGCCGGGCCGGGCCTCCGGTTCGGTCATAATTTTTTTTTTTTTTTGCTTTCCTAACCCCCCCACTCACCCCCCACCCCAAACCCCCAAACCCCTCCTAACCATCAAGCCCAACCCGGCTAACCCCAAAAAATGAAAAAAAAAAAATAAAAAAAAAAATCAATTCGGCCCGGGCCGGTTCGCCAAATACAAGGCCTGAGCCCGGACCCGCCCCCCCACCGGACCTAGGCCCGGACCCGGACCCGAGAACCGGGCCGGTTCCGGGCCCGCACAATGGCGGGCCAGGCCGGTCCCGGGCCGGGCGGCCCGAACCGGGTCCATGCCTATGGGAGATGAACACCCCAAACTTGCATATGTAATTTAAATAACCGAAACTTTATATAAAAAGTTGCTTTGGCACCATGCCACCATGGCCAAGTGGCCTAAGTATTATTTCTTTCAAAAATGTAAATTTATAGTGTTAATTGCATAATTTAAAATATTTTAAAACTCATGAAGACACAATTAACATTCTAAACTTCCATTGCACAATAAATAATGTTACCCTAAATCTATATAACTGCAACACTTTTAATTTGTTATTTTAAGTTATGCAATTAACCACACAAATTTACATTTTTGAAAGAAAAAATATATGAAACTGGTGCAAAAATAACTTTTTATATGAAGTTTGGGGTATTTAAATTACATATGCAAGTTTGGGGTGTTTATCTCACACCCCATCATTATTATTTTTATTATTTTTCCCAACTTTTTCATTGAGCATTAAAACATATTCATTAAATAGTAAATACCTACTCTCTACTAAAACTCACCTCTAGTTTAAATAATTTTTATTCTATAAATACTTTTTATTTAGATTCCTTGTATCAAAATCTATATGAATAACTAGAGTACATTATACTCCGTATCAAACATCAAAGATCAGACAATACCAAAACTTTTAGCATAACATCCATTTAAATGTAACAATACATAAATACAAAAAAAATTGGTCTCAAACATCAATTCATGCACTACAACGTACTAGCTACTTCATGCATAGCACATTTCAAGCTAGTTTGCATAACTACATGTCTACATCTATAAAATATCTTGACCATATATTTATGATATCGTTAAATTCAATTTTGTCAATTTATATGGTTCACCTCTTGAACTCCAAACCTGAAATGTTTATGTAAAACAAGAACAAATCAACTCAATAGTATATAGAGTTAATTACCCAAAACATTAAATATAAAATAAGCAATTTAGTCAACGCACAATTTATTCATACGTTTATATTACTTCCAACATGTAACCCATGACATAATATTCGCATTCAATATTAGCAGTTTATTTTGCACACTTTATCAATCATAAGTCCTAACATGTACAAAATATAATAATTGTGTAAGAATTCAAATCAAAATCGATTATATTTCAAGAATTACAAAAATAAAAGTAATTATAGGATAGAACATACCTTGATATTGTGTCATTTAATTGGTTCGCCACAACCTTTTCATGAAGAAACAACTATATACATTCTAGTGATTCTACAAATCCAAATAAAAACATATATACCTATGCTTATAAATTCCTATTTATAAATATAATCTATTCAAATAAATGTATTCACCCAGGCACCCCTAGACCCTAGTACCATTACAAGGATTAAGCACTGTTCAAAAATGCACGGGGGCAGTTTGCCCTTACTTTATCTGGGTGTTATTATTTGTTGGAAAGGTTTTTGTAATGACAAATAATTAGTTTTACATTTGCTTTATGAAAGATTGAAGGACATGCGCTTGGAGCTCTCTGGACAGCTAATGTTCAAGACTTTCATGGTTCCAATATTTTGCTTCAACGTTTTGGTGAATCATTCACAATACCTTGTTACTAAACAATACCTCGAGCTTTAGTCCTGCGTTGATAGACAAGAGGACTTTTCCAATATGGGGAGCCATCTTCATTGTACCAATGTGAAAGAAAAGAGTGGGTCCAATTCTCAGAACTTCAAAAAGTAATATAAGAAGAGCTCGAGTCTTGGACGTGCCATAGGTATGACAAATTTGTTATTTATATATATTTATATATATATATATATATATATATATATATATATATATATATATATATAGGAATAAGAGGCATCAACCGACCACCATCCCACCAATTAGAGGACTTCATACTTACGAATATAACTCCTAAAACTGCTGGACAGAGGATAGAAGACCCTACCCTCGAGAAGCTCACATATTCGAGAAACCAAGTCAAAGCTAACCAAAGGGAGAAAAAACAAAAGAAGATGTAAATGTGACAAGTATGTGATGAAGTTTATAATCTAAGTCTACAATTGGATTTATAATCCTCACAATAGGTGTAACCAAAATCCTCACAATTGGTGTAAAATATGAATTAATCTCAGAGTAGGTGTTGCACATGTCAACTTAGGTTGTTGAATTTGTAATTCTCACAATAAGTGTGCTTCTAAACAATGTTATTAAGTTTATAATCTGATTTGCAATCCTCACAATAGGCTTCCTCACAGTAGGTGTAAAATCTGATTTATAATTTTCATAGTAGGTGTTGCACATGTCAGCTTAGGGTGCTGAATTTATAAACCTTACAGTAATTGTGCTTGTGACTAATTGACAGTGACGGCTTTTTGGTTGTGTCGGGTAAATTATCAATTTAATTTTAGCAAATGGCAAGGCCAACTGATGAATCCGGTTTAATTAGATATGTTTATCTTCATTTGTTAATTAGAATAGAACTTGTTTCTTTGTATGTAGAAGACTTGGTTCAAATAATTTTATTATTTTCTACAATAGAAATTAAACTTAATAATTAAGTTCATACACAGTAGTGCTGGACTCGGGCCGGGCGGCCCGGCCCGGAACCGGCCCGGCCCGGTTACTGTTTGGCCCGGCCCGGCCCGGGGCCCGGTGGGTCCACCGGTTCGGTTCGGCCCGGCCCGGATGCTGGGCGGTTCGGGCCCGGGCCCAGGTTTTGGTGAACCGGCCCGGCCGGTTCGGGCCCGGTCCGGGCCGGATTTTAATTTTTTTTTCTTTTTTTTGATATTTTTTTAAGTTTTAGGTTGGATTAGGTATTTTGGGCCATTTGAGGTGGTTTGGGATGGTTTGGGGTTGAGGGGGAGGGGTAGGGGATTAAATAGGAGAACAAAAAAAAAAAATTAATTGGGCCGGTTCGGCCCGGCCCGGCCCGGTTTGGCCCGGAACCGGGACCGGAACCGGCCACCGGCGGTTCGGGCTCGGGCCTCCCTTTCCTGGCCCGAGGCCCGGCCGGGCCCAGGCCCGAACCGGGCCCGAACCGGCCCGAGTCCAGCACTAATACACAGTATGTATAATTGTATATGATTGTGTAGTGAGTCAATTAATCAACAACTGATAAGAAGATTGTTGAACAAAGTAAAAGGAATGTATGAAAATGGATGTATTGAAAATATATATTCAAGCTTAAGCAGTAGTGTTAGTAATAATAGTATCAACTGAGATTTGCTATGAATTTTTTAATTTGCTTTTGTTCTTGGGTTTTAACAAATGTATCTGATCAATTTTTTATATGAGGGGAAAGCTTTTGTCTTAGCTTGTAAACACTAATTAAATATTTCTTAGCTTGTAAACACTATTTAAATATTTCTCAGCTTGTAATGATTATTCAAATAATTCTTAACTGGTAAATGACTATTACGTAGTATTGTCTGCCCTGTTGGCTTACTTGTATATTAGAGCAGACCATAGACAGGAAAACCCGCTAGGCCGGGCCCGCTCAGCCTACTTATAAACAGGCTTGGACAACTATTATTAGAAAAATAATACAGAGTAATTGAGAGAGCTGAGCCCAGCCCGCTCAGCCTACTTATAAACAGGCTTGGACAACTATTATTAGAAAAAAAATTATTTGGGAGAGCTGAGCCCAGCCCGCTCAGCCTACTTATAAACAGGCTTGGACAACTATTATTAGAAAAAAATTAATTGGGAGAGCTGAGCCCAGCCCACTAGATTTAACGGGCGGAATATGGCAAGCCTAAAATTATTTCGGACCAGCCCAAAATGATTTCAGCATGCACCACCATATTGTCACATTATCTGTTAGGAATTAGGACATGTAACAACTCGACAGTGCGCTTCTCCTTGTTCAAACTTCAAACGGTCCGTTCTGAGCTTCAGATTGGAATGGATTAGAGCCATCAGTGTTAGGTAGGTTCATGAACACCCAGAATTAGCTCAATTATACTCTGTAGTTGTTTTTACAATTATTCACTAGTGGCAGTTTTCCTTTTACCAGAAGTCACATGTCAAGCTAAACGCTAAACATATAAACTGGAACTCTGGAAGCATCATGCTGCTCCAAAATTGTTTTCAGATCAACAAATCTGCAACCGATTAAATGTAAAGAACAAGATTTGCAAGCTGTTCAATAAAATATGCGCCGCCATTACAACTGAAACGGTTCAGTGAGAGTGTTTTGAACGCAGGCTTCAAAAGAACTCTGAAGTACAATTCTAGATAGGGGTGAACACAGCCCCACTTCTAAAGCTAAAATGGAGACCACTGCATTGCCACCTGGTCTTATCTACTATGGATCTCTCCAATCCAAAATATGACCAGAACAGGTAGCTTCCCGCCTCCTACCTTTGCATTACAAGATCCTATCCAGAAGCAACAATACTGTTGAGAGACATAACAGTTCTGTGCCTATGGGGGCCAGTAAGCGATCGTACGTTCAAGCATCGGGGAGGACCATGTCCACCCCTACTAACTAAACAGAAATTCCCACCAACTAACTTTTAGAGGTTGACTAAAGACAACAGAATAGAGTAATGAGAATAGAAAACTGTATCGTAGTTTAAAATTAGTTACCTCTGAAATATCTGATGTAGTCCATAAATACCAAACTAACCAAATGAGAAAAGAGGTTAGCTTAAGGATGCCCAAACTGGATATGGGCATTCATATGTCCAATCTGGTCCAGAATATTTAACACAATGCAGCCATATGCCCTCTTCGTAACCATCATATCTGCATTGAACATATCCAAGGGACTGGGTAATTTTTAAACAGATCCTATTATCAAAATACTATAACAGCTAATTTCAGAGGTCAATATCAACCTGAAGAGTTTTCGAGCATTACTAAAAGGGTATATTAATAAATGTAGTTACATATATGCAGTCATCGCATCTAAATAAATCATAGTTTTTCTAAATCAATAAAAATCCTAGAAAAAAACATTTTTTAGAGATAGAGATGGGTTCAGCTGGGAGATATCTTTATAGAGTTTATTCATTTATTACTCCTACAAGCACAAATACTGCTAAATACAGTATAAGAATAACAAAACTTTGTGCCCTATGTTTACTGTGAAATTCGTCTTTATACCCCATATAACATAATTTTACTTTGGACTTTAGAGTGGAGTGTAAAGTCGTTACCAATGTAATTATGGGGTGGGAAATGCAAAAGAAATAACCTACTTGGGGGTGCAAACTTAAAGGAATTAAAACTTTCGGTGCAAATTCCAAATCTGAAGTAAAGATGGGGTTCAAAGTTTTCATATAGAATACTGATAGATATTCAAAGCATAAAACAGACACTAATGTGTATTACATGCTCGAGCTAAACATTACTGTTATCAACGCACTATTTTATATCATCACGTGCTTCACAATATCCCCCTCAAGTTGGAAGGTGCATCAAAAGCACCATTGTAACCATCACCAGTGACTTAGCATAACCAAATATGAGAGAATAAAAAATAATATATTGAATATAAACACTATAATATAAAAGAAATAATACAACGATAAAAGAATAAACATCTTCATATGAAAGTTAGTGTTGGCCTTGTAGTGGACTAAAGCTATACTAGGGTTTACCATCTAGGGTTTCCTACTTTTCAACACTTCACCTAACATATAAAGTTCAAACTTGAAATAATACAAGCATAACCTTACAAAAAACTACAAAGAACAAACAAGAGATGAGTCTGGGGGATAACTATGCCGGTAATAATAGGTAATCATAAAACGATTTTAACAGCAGAAAAAAGGTTAAGTATAACAGGTGGTTTTAGGACAAAAATCACATTCAAAAACTTAATGCTATTGGAACGTAGTACTACAAGCTTATTACGCCAAATTAAAAAAACTTACCCTTTAGGAGCCAGGTTTGGGCAATTTGTACACATTGGGTCATAGCTGAAATCTTCACTGGGTCCATTATCAGATTCAACAGCATCACTTCCAGTATTTCTGGGCTTTAGAACATGGCCTGACATAGCAGCACCTCTGTCCGCACTAATTCCAGTTGCTGAACGAGGAATGCACTCGAACAGATAGAGCTTGTCATTAGCTATTGGATGCCCAGTATATTGTAAATGAACACGTATCTATCACAAGTCAGAAGCATCAGGGTAACGCAGTGTTTGCAAAACTGTTTTAATATAATTCATTGCACAGTCGTGCCATAAATTTCATGGAAAAAAATTGGAATACAAATATCTAGAATGGAACTACTATGAGTCTATGCTTATAGGAAAAAGTAGAGACAGGCAAACCTTGCATCTCAAATTGAATGAAAGAAACACCCATTATAAACATGATGTGTGAACACAAACCAATTTTTAACATCTAATAACTGATCCAATAACATAAAGGAACAAATATCATTTTATGGCATCTTGATGTTTAAGCTAAGCTTCAACTTCGCTAAATATTTTATTATAGTACTTTAAGTTTCACCTTCAATGTATGATAGTCTTTATAAACCTCAATACTTTGCAACCAATTCATTGACAAATGAACAGATGGTATTGAACTATTGATGTATTTCTTCCAGTTTGGCAGTTTCACCAACACATTTTTGAATAAAATTCATTTTAATAAAACTATGTTTGTAAAAATTAGTCAATTATTCAACACCAATATGACTAGTAAATGGAACTAACATAACTTCACCATCCAATGACTAATTACAAAACTAGTTTTATTTTTTCATGTAGCTATTTTCACTAGGCATGTAATTGGGTCGGTTGAATGGAGAAAATTAGCCTCCAATCGCCTTCAGAGTTTGCATGATGCTTTTCTACTTTTTACAGAGGGTTAGCAAAGGGTTTCTATCTACTTTCTAAAATTTAAGGATATTACGCAGAATTTAATGAAGTACTACGTAGAATCTTTTGCAATAGACTAGTTAAGAAAGTTTGAGAGAACTCAACATCATCTCTACTCTCCAGGGATGTTTCAATAGAGCTCAATAGCTCCTTGATATGTATGATTCACATATATACACTTCGTATTATTTTTTTAACTGTATACTTCGTACTAATTATATACACCATAAAAAAAATTAATACTATATAAAAAGTAAAAGAGAAAAATAATATATAATTCTTTAAATTATTTATTGAATATACATAATATAAATTTTTTACTAACTATATATACTTCGTACTAATTATGTTTATTTTATACTACATAATGCAAGCTAATATATATGTGTATGGGGGAGCGCACGCACGCACGTGTGTATATGTATTATGTATACATAAATATGACACTTTTATATATAAAATATAAATATAAAATATGGAAATAAAGTTAAAGAATTTCTTTTAGTATATACTTTGTTTTTTATTTTGAAAATACCCCAATATATAAATACTCCATATTTCCTTATTATATTATTTTATAGATGTCTATATTTTATATTTTCAACTTCTATTTTACTTTATATTGGTGTTTTTTATTTTTTCGCAATTTTGACACTTTTCAAAGGTTGAGGGAGTGAATTGATCAACTCGATCAGGTTCAGGGGCTTATTTGACCCCTTAAATTGACACATCTGACGCACCGTTGACACCTTCATGGGTGATGTGACGGTGACCACACCGCTACCTGAAAAAGGTGAAATTTTAAATTTTGAGGGTGTGGAATGGAGCTTTTTTTTATTTCAGGAGCAAATTGAGCATTCCGGATGGGTATAGGGGCCTATTTGACCTTTTAGCGTAAAATGAACAGTATAGTTTGCTAAAGTAGAACTTGTGAAGAACTGAGTAGGGTTCAGTGAAGCAAAGTGAGGTCACATACAACTCAGTAAAACTCGGTATAATTCATTAAAGAGGTCAAATTTCAAGGAGTTCTGGTTGACGTCCAGCTCTCAAGTTGCTCAACTTCAAGAGCTCACCTAAAGTTCAGTGGTAAAATAGAATTCAATAAAACTCACTGAAGCAGAGCTTAGTAGCTCCGTAAAGTAGAACTCGGTAGAATTCAGTAAAGGGAAATCAACTCAAAGGAGTTAACTTAAAGTTCAGCTCTCAGGTTGTTCAATTATTTAAGAAAATATCAGTTCAAGAATATTCAAGAGTTCAAGTTTTTCCAGTGGTCATGGTTAAGTTTGATTTTCTATTTAGTTTATGTTTGGAGCATATATTAATTATTAATATATTCAGTAGAGTTCAGTGAAGCAAAGTGAGGTCAAATAAAACTCAGTAAAACTCGATGTAATTTAGTAAAGAGGTCAAATTTCAAGGAGTTCCGGTTGACATCCCACTCTCAAGTTGTTCAACTTCAAGAACTCACTAAAGTTCAGTGGTAAAATAGAATTCAATAAAACTCACAGAAGCAGAGCTTAGTAGAGCTCTGTAAAATAGAACTCGGTAGAATTCAGTAAAGGGAAAATAAATTGAAAGAGAAAAGTTAAAGTTCAGTTCTCAAGTTGTTTAATTTTTTAAGAAAATATCAGTACAAGAATATTCAAGAGTTCAAGTTTCTTCAGTGTCCATGGTTAAGTTTGATTTTCTTTTTAGTTTCAAGTCCGGAGCATATATTCATATGGTCCAGCTGAAGGGGGTGACAAAGTATAGAAATGTAGTAATTTTAGTTCTAGGAACATCATGATTTCCCTTTGGTGTTTGCTTTACATTTCTTTGTCATATTGGGTTTAGGCTCATTGTGTCTATCAATAAGCTTTCTAATTATATTCATATCATACATTAAAAGTTAAAACCTCACAGCGTAAAGGGCACTATAAATTCACTGGATTAGTGTACCATCATGGAGAACATAACAGGGTAGTAGGGTAACGCTGAGTAGCAATGTAGCATACCTGATGTGTCCTTCCGGTGATCGGTTGGCACAGTACAATACTATGCTTCCCGTCCGTACAAATTCGCATAAATTTGGTAGAAGCAGACTTTCCGTTTACAAGATCATTGCCACTAACACTATTTCCTCCCGCCTGCAAGTTCAAATCACGAAACTCAAGGTATAACATGGTTACATCCAAAAGGAAACTGTCTGTTACTTCTAAAAAGAAGGTCAAATGACAGGGGAATACCCCAAGTTTTTCTTTTATATCACAAATTTGGCTATTTCCATAACTACCCCTGGATAAAAAAATTACAGTTTGATAATTGCTTAATAGGTCCAGAGAAAGTAGTGAAATTAGCTACAAAGAGAGGAAAAAGAGATCAAAGACTAACAGAATTGTAACATTAGTAGTATAATGCTCAGATATGTTTCACATTTTTACTCATTAATATATTAAATAATATTTTTCCATTTTTGAGACTTTAAGTTAATAATAACGTGATAGAATGATTTTTCCATCTAGACAACATTTTATGCTCATTTGTGAAATCAGAAATGTTGACAGAATGACAGCACAGACTAGTTTATTTGTATCTACAATATCTAAATTGACTTTTACACATAAAGACCTACTATAGAAATTCATTGATCACTAAATTCCTCTAAGTCCTTCCACTTCAGTTTATTACATCGATCTTCATCTCTACAATATTTCAACTGTTATCCTACATTTAGCACCAAATGTTACAGCAAACACTATAGAGCAGATCATTTGGATTGGAAACTGTAATGAAGGGCAGTCCGAAACAGAGAAGGCAGCACTGCGAAAAAGTGGTCCACAAGATACCAACTTCCAGCTTGTTGGTCAAGAGTTGTGCGGCTTGTGCCTCACCCATCATATGGAATGTGGTCAAGCCCATGAGTGTCATTTCCGCAGTTTTTTTATGAGAAAAACCACAGTACCGCACACAATGCTTCAGCCAGCTTAATGGATCGACGTACCATCAAAGAAAGTAAATTCCAACTTCGAATAGTGTGTGGAACCATGGTAGCCTCCTCATATGTCTGCTACTGCTCATACTTCAGAAGGAACATCTTAGAAGATGGGCCAGAGACACAGTTGCTGGGAGATTCTAACCTTTGCAACATTGTGGAGCAATATGCAATAAAGTCCTTGCTTCTGATCTTTCATACTATGAAGGAAGTGATGATGAAGGTTCAAGTAATGAAGCTCATGGTCCAGAAATAAGGTACTGGGAAGAGAGAGGCGCAAGGATGAAGCTGTTGGTCAGGGTTGTTTCCTACCTCCCACCTTGAGGACAAGGTGGTTATCAAAGATGAGTGATGATAGGAACCCGGGCAGAATAATAATAATAGTACTAAATAAAGAATAGTATAAAGGTTTAGTAGGAGTAAGATATGTAAATTAATAGCTGAGGTGGCAACCCCATGCTAAAATACGTAGTATAAACTATTAATTAATAGTAGCTGAAAGTGGGAAGAGGGAAACTGCTCGAAATGTCTCAACCTCTGTTCTTCACTTTCTTTCTGTTTTCTGTCAATTCAGTTGTAATTCATCAGACTCCATATTCAATATAATCCTAAATTTTTACTGTGTTTGTTAAGTCTCTATCAAACCTTAGGCACTCCCACTTCATTACTTTAATAAGAAGAACAAAGGCTAATACCTCTTAATGATTAAGGATGTTTTCTTTTGGACTGTTTTCAGTCCCAGACCAGACCAGACCAGACTTGACTTCCGTAGTTATAAAATACGCAGAGATCAGACGTTTACCAGACCAGACCAGACCAGATCAGACCAGCAAATTTCAGTCCAAAAGAAAACATCCTTATACATCGAGGTAAAATAAATTATTGCCAATTTGTTACTTCGTAGCTTCCAGATAAATGATTGCAAATTAGTATCCAAATGAAAAGCACCACTATACCTCCCAAATACAAATTCAATATGCTTTGTCAAGTTTGATCCTCATCAATGATGAAGGACTTCCACATATGACATTTCAGAAAACATTGCTTAGAAAAAGAAACAGAAATTAAATATTTTCATAAGGTCTCTCGTCCTCATCAACTACCCACCTCATATGTCTTACAACGAAGACTGACATCCAAATCGTAATTAATCTTATGAATCTTATCTTCATAGACCTTTTACTTAGCATCTAACTAGTGAAATTGAGAATCTCTCACTGTCGAGAGTATATCGTGTTAGTGAGCCCATATTATTAATAACCATTAGGTTTGAACTACACATCAGATTTAAAATATGCATATCACACAATCTAAGAAAAACAACCACCACCACCATATATTGATGGAGCAAGGAGATATATGAGCTAATATAACTGATGCAAGAACTTTACCTCCGTAGTACTCCTTCCTTCTCGAGCATTGTAATTGACATTTGCATTTACAACTTGCTGGTAAAGGAAAATCATAAATTATATCCATCAATTCATCAAATCAAGCGAGCAAATATGAACAGCTTCTCTATTAAGATCACAAAGATGGACTAAAGCAAAATAATTGAGCACATAGCAATAAAAAGTACCTCATCTTCAGGGAAAACGCCAATTACCCTAGCAATATACTGCTTCTGCACCCTTCCTGATTCAATCTGAAACAAATTGGGCCCCCAACATAGACGAACTCAATTGAAATACACTAACTAGAAAAAAAATGGTGTAATTGAGCCTCTTTTACTTGTTGCCAATCGGTATCCAATTCTAAACGTATGATATTGATGCATCTTTAAAAGGTTAACGTTAAATGCATCTTCTAGTGTGACAAGGGTTGATATAGCAAATTTGGAAGATTAGTAAGAACATGCATTGAATTCCTACAACAATAATTACTACCTCCGTCCCTCTTATATTGGAACGGAAAAGAGTGGCACGATTATTAAGAAAAGTTGACGATTATTAAGAAAATTTTATTTGTGTGGTTGATATTAATTGATAAAGTAAGAATGATTTAGAGCCACACAAACTTTACCAAATGTGGTATGGGACAATTTTAGTGGGATTTCCTGAAAAGGTAAAACGGGACAATATAAGGGGCGGGGGGGAGTATTAGATCAAATGGCTAGAAGACAACTAATTTGACCGGGGTTTGAGAATGTAGCAATAACAAAATTGTTCTCCTTCCGTATCACAAAACTTTGACAAAATTCTTGATTCAGCCATCCCAAAAAACTTTGCCATTATCATTTAAAGTACTCCCTCCGTCCCATTTTACCTGTCTTACTTTCCTTTTTGGGTTGTCCCAAAATAAGTGTCACTTTTCCCTTTTTGGAAAGAAATATGCAGTTGACAACATTTCACTTTATTGTACTCACATCTCAAGCACAACTTTTACCTTTTCAAACCACTTTATTAAAAATTGACAAATTGTGCCAAAACCAAAAGAGACACATAAAATGGGACGGAGGTAGTAATAATTATGTGGTTAAAATTCTGTCTCTCTCCTCTACACATTTCTCAACTACACAGTTTTTACTTTATTATTCTACGTGCAAGTCAAATCTGGCCAAGTTTTGTGGGACAGAGGGAGTAAAAATAATCACAACCCCAACCGCCACTGGCCTAGACCACCAAATTATCGGTGTTCACCAATTTTGATTGTCGTCGCTTACAGGCAGCAGGCAAAAAGCAAAGTTCTGGCCAGAGTTTAGGCACGCCATAGAACCAGCAAACCTATGAGGATGAACCTCCAATGATATTCGATGTTGGGATTTCCTTTATTTGATGGTACAGCAATCCATTAACCTGGTTGTAACCTTGTGAGAGGATTTAGACTTCTTCAGTCATCATTGAACCGCAGAAATGGCACGTGTGGGCTTGACGTCATTCTATATGTTAGGCGACACATATAATTGAGCTGACAAGCTGTGGAAGTCATACCACATTTTGGGAATGTTGTCTTCTTGAATGGCACAGTAACGCAAAACAGGTAATGTGAAACGGTATTTTTTATATGGATACAAAACGTGGGGAAAACTACTAAATAGAAAAATTATTGGGATATAATTGCAAATATTTTTCCATATATGTGTGTGTGTGAGTGAGTATCTATCCATATCTTTTTCATATTTACTTTGCCATATGACTGAAGATTAATTAGCACCATGAAATGTCACAAATACAGTGTTGTGCATGAAAAACCTAAAAACAATCCATCAAAACGTCATATAAACAACAAAAGCAAAGATCCAACATTTCTAAAGCACTACTAGAGTACTAGGAAATGGGTTTCCCAATTTTTTATAGCTTTCAAATCTCAGATACATTTCTGAGTTTCTGAAACAGCAAAATGTGAGCTTTGTTGTGTTTCCATGTTTCTTCTCCGCTTTGAAGTTTGAACTCCCCTTGAGCACCGATTAGGAAGGTAATCTTTTTCAAATAAAACTATCCGGCATGGTTAAGGAGTGTAACTGCTTTTTCCCAACATGTCTTGGCATGCACCTAAAGTCTGCTCTGTTGGTTTCATGTTAATGCATCTATGTCTGGTCATTGGGAGGAGAAACGTTTGGAGCTTTCTAGATTCCTGGAAACATGAATATTGCTATGGCCTATGAGGCTTGGCCAGAAAAACGGCTAAAATAACAGCCTGTTCGGTTGTCCACGCTGCCCAAAACTACACGTCTACACTACCGCTTGCGGGGCCAACAACCACTGAATACTTACACTGCTACCAGCCTCCTCAAGAGGGGAGATCAGGAGATGACTGGGTTGAGCAGAAGCCATGGCTTGCCAAACCAAGGGCCTATGATATAAGCCTATATTGTGATGAAAATGGCCTCATGACAAAGGCTTTAGAAAAGAAACATCCTAACCAAGGGGCTATGCTATAAGCCTATATTGTTATGAAAATGGCCTGAGGAAAAAGACTGTAAAAAAACACTTTTTTGTTGAACTTGCGGAAGATGACAATGAAGCAAGCCAATGTCACCAACCACGCTCTCTCATTATACGTGAATGCAAATACACATATATATGTACTTGTGCGTATTACTGTATTACATTCACCAAGTGGTTTACTAAAACTTATATTCACAAAGACTGCTACAAAATAACTACAAGAAAATACCTGCTGCCTAAAAGTGTCAGCTTTAGAGGAACTCCGGGCTAAGATAAGGAGCCCTGAGACCAAGCGATCAAGACGATGAATAGCTTGAAGCTCAAGTTAAGGAAACATAACCCAAAAAAATTTATATCAAGTAACTAGACATTTTGACAAATTTGACATGCTGCAAAAGCCTAACATAGAAGCACTGGATTGTATGCAAATTATATAAAATCGTTGTAATGAAATAGCACTAGATTGTATGCAAATCATATAAAATCATTGTAATGAAAGAGCACTAGATTGAATGCAAATTACATAAAATCATTGTAATGAAAGAATATTTACATGTAGTAAATATGCCTTCATGCAAATTATTGGAACACACTTTTACATGCATCTCTTCCACAACAACAATAGTGGTGCAAGAATTGATAGACCATTAGGTTAAAAACCATGATTTTGTAATAAATGCAACAGGGAGTATAAAATATCAAACTACTACACCATCCAAAATCATAGTCAAAAGAATATTAAGAAATTGCTCAAATAGGAGAAAAACATAGGCAATGGTCTAAAATAGGACTGAGAATGCTTTCTTCCAAAAAAAGACTTATTTAGTCCTATAAAAAATAAATGAATAAAAACTTCCCTAAATAGGATCCCATGAGTCCTAGGTTGGGAAGAAAACAATGGTACTCCTGTGTGAGAAAATCTGATATATTTTACTCCTAATTAGAAAATTCTCTAAAGAATATATACCTATAGTAAATTTCATAACCTTTTTTCATTTTTAGCATGGGTGAATGTGCCTTCAAACGAATTATTGGAGCACATTTTTACATGCATGTCTCCCATAACATCGGTGCAAAAATTGATAGACCTTCATGTTAAAAAGCATGAATTTGTAATAAATGCAACATGGAGTATAAAGTATCATATGAAGTACTCAAGTACCTCCTCTCACTAACATGAAATACGGAGCAGCGTAAAGGAAATTAAACGGTTTTTTTTTAAAGTTTGAGCAAGATACTAAGCTATAATGGATACGAAATAGTGGTGTCAAACTATGTTCTGCCTCAAGGATGCCAAGGATTGTGTTCTTACGATACTGCCCACACGGGTGCACCTATGAACATTGAAACGTAAAGAAATGGTATATCACACTATGGAAAAAATATAACTTAAAGGTGGGTAATATAGACATTGAGCTGCAAAAGGAATCCACACTATAAAAGATTGAAAAAAGAATGGAAATTGATTTGGGTGTCAAGTCAAATGTTGTCTTATAGACGAAGAGAAATCATAGAATTGTTGTAGTAGAACTATATAACTGTTCAAAACTTTAGTAAAGGTTAACAGCTGTGAACTTACAGGGACTGATGCAGGTTTACAAACGGTCAGCACCTCTGGTTCCTCACATAGTACCTCCACATCCCATGCCATGACTGGAGGTTCATGCCTACATGCTTCAGTTACTTAGCAAGTAGCAACACATACTTGAGGTGGCATGTTATAACTTTGTGTTGGACTCTTCATATAAACTCCACAGTGTGAAACAAAAATATAACTTGATTGATTGGGTGACATGATAATAGAAGCTGAACAAATTTGTTGGGGGGTGAAGCTCGAGCTGGACAGACCTGTGTACAAAATGGCTTATTTTCTGTGATGATTGGACTACATATGAAACAGGAACTCTTTTCCCATTGACTTGTATTCGTCCAGATTTAACAGCAGCAACCTACAAACTCTATTAACTTTCTTCTGTAATATGAACTCAATATTTTAATGTCAAATGACTTTCTTTGAAATAACGCACAAGCATATGAATCCATTTTTCAATCCAGAAATGGATACAGTAGCTAATGGTAGATAGCGCATGATAATAGCATACATAGTAATCGCTAGACCGGCCTTTAAACTCTTCAGAGAAAAGGTCAACAATTGTCTTCCCTGCCCACCGATTCTTCACCTGCGTACAATAATTTGAGCATACAATGGATTTAAAAGAGAAGTGGTCCTTAACTAGCTTGTCAAAGGCGGGAGCGCTTACATGAGAGATGAACTCGAAGTAGTATGGTTTGACATAGCGTATGCCTGCACAAATGCATAGAAAATGAAACTTCGTGAAAGAAAAAAGAATATGAAGAAAGAAGGTACCGTTGCGGTAAATGTAGTCATGTCTCTCTGGTGGGTTCGCGGGAGTTTGCCACACTATCATCTCCATATCGTCTACCTTCCGCTTCATTCTTTACCTTCCCAAATTACTGCAATACTGTGTGCGGCTCGCCTGCAGCTTACGGGTACTGCCGTACTGGACGATCTACTGGGCGGTTACAGACTTACAGGTATGTTTGGCTAGCTGAAAGCAGGCTGATGAGCATTTGGCTGAGGCTAGAATTCAGAACCTTTTTTAATTGGGTTAAAAATATGGAAAAATCATAAAAATATCTCAAACTTTATATAAAAAAAGTTATTTTCGCACCAATGTCATGTATTATTTCTTTCAAAAATGTAAATTTATGGGGTCAATTGCATAATTTAAAATACCAAATTATAAGTGTTGCAATTATTAAGATTGGGGATAACATTGTTTATTTTGCAATGGAAGTTTATAATGTTAATTGTGTCTTTATGAGTCCTAAACTTTTTTAAATTATGCAATTAACCCCATAACTTTACATTTTTTGAAAGAAATAATATGTGACTATGATGTCAAAATAACTTTTTTATATAAAGTTTGGACTATTTACAATATATATGCAAGTTTGGAGTATTCATCTCATATCACTTTAAAGTTTAGGTATTTTAATTATTTTTCGCTTAAAATTTTGGGTCTACTCCTTTTAAATCTCGTTTAAACTGATTTGGTTTTGGTTTGGTAGATGTTGTTCAATATTTTATAAATGGGATAAGGCTCAAATTGGACATTATGTTTTCTTGAAAATCTGATATTGGACACTAAGGTTTCAAATATATCAAATTAGACATTATGGTTACATATGTATCTCATATTGGACACTGAAGTGTCATAGGTCATAGTTTTTGGACATTCACTTACGGAGTATGATTCTCTTCTTCCTTTAATAAAAAACATTAGTCTTATATTTCCTTTCCTTTTTGTGAAAATAAACTAATTTAATTACATGTATAATTTTGAAATATTTAATTTGAAATTTAAGAATATATAATTTGATTTTAATTAATAACTTCTTATATTTAATAATTTAAAAATATATTTATGACTTTTCATTCATATGGAACTTTAAGAAATATGATTGGTTAAATTGATTCAACAATATTAAAACTGCAATCACATTATAATAGATTTTCTTAATTGGAATATCTAATTATATTTGTATTAGTTTCCAATTTCCAAATCACACAATTTTGATGGAGAGCAAAATTCAGCAGCGGCTATAAGAGGTCTTCGTCCTCTCTCTCTCTAGGGTTGCCGCAAGGTAATCGCTACCTTGGATTCGTCCGCTATCAGCCATTGCCGAGGAGCGGGGCTGGGTTTTTCCGGCCAATTGTTGGAATTGAAGAGTCTTCTCTCTATCGGTCATCTCCCTACGAGTTAGGGTTTCGTTTCTTCCACTTTTGTCATCAACGAAGAGCGGTCGTCGGTCGATTTCGATAGTGTAAGCAGGCTCGGGACCAGGGATGCAGCGCTTTGGCTGAAAATTCCTAAAGTTCCCTCTCTGGCTAAAGAGGTTGAACGTCCTAAATCACCGATAATTTTTCCCCTCCTATATAGGTTGACTCGGAAACTCATTCGGAGTCATACAACCCATATGATGATGGGAGTTCTACTGAAACGGACCTGAACTGAGCTATACGGGAAAATATGGTTTGTTGTTACTCATACGGAATCCGGATATGCAGAGTTAGGGGAAGGGGAAGAAGTCACTTCCACGGGACCAATGAGGTATGATCATGTTTTTTGCTCATATCAAGTCATATTATTTTACCGATCCAGCTAATCACAAATAAAATGATGTGTTATATTATTATAATATTGTCATGCTTTTTACATGGCCGTAGATGAGGGCGTGCAAGAAGTGCTACCGCACAAGGCCTCTCGATTCAGAAGGCCCAAAATTTTAAATATAGTCTATATAATATACAAAATCCTTTTTTATTTGATTAAAGATTCCTATTTTAGTATTTTGTTTTTAAACACAAACATTAAATACTAATGTTAATATGTAATTAAAATGCAATTGTTAATTATAAATGTGCAACTTCTTTATTACATGAGGCCTGGATAAGGCCTAGTTATAATAATTAGCACAAATTCCTCGTACAGTTTGTACGAGCTTGGTTTTAAGGGACGGAGGGAGTAGTTTTTTCAGTAATATCCTACTCTATATTTTTTTGTTCATGATTTTAATTCACTTCTTTTCGCTTTTAGTTTTTTTACCGATTTTGGTTGTTCAGGTTCTAAATATGATTATATCTCAGTGTCACATTTGATTGTAGTCTTTTTGGGTTATTTTTAAAGGCTGTTTTTTATATTATATTTATTTAATATAAGGCTTATTTTACGTTATTTGCACCGGGTCTCCTAATCTATTGAGCCGGCCCTGACTTTTTATGTAGTGTTTTTATATTTTATATTGCTCATTTTAGTATGGATTCTATTGTTCATTAGCTACCTTTGTGTAATATCTACTTTAATTATGAATTCTATCGTTCATTTAATTTGACTATAATTTTACGTGTGTCACTTTTTAAACTAAATAAAATATTATGGATTCTATCGTTCATTAACTACTTTCATGTTACATGTGTCACATTTAAATTTAAATAAAATTTTAGTAAAGATTAGAAAATATAATAACACTTTGTATTCGAGTGATAAACTGATAACATCAGTTGTTCCTTCAAATGTTTCTGTCAAGACATCACCTTAAACACCATATTTACTAAATGTAAAATGTAATATTTGACTTATCTTTGATATAAAGTATGTGAAAATCTAAATTCTTCTAAGAGATAAATAAAACTATGAAAGTATGATCGTGAGTTTTCTCGCACTTAAAATAGATCGTAATATAGTGGTGTAAGTACGAATATCGTCTCCACAGGAACGGACAAAAGGGAATCAAGAATTAATTAAATCCAGCGATTAAAAAGAAAATAAAATAAAAGCGTCGCGCGAGATTGATTGGTTGGAAAATTAAACTAATGCGAATGAAACGATTAAACTAGGGGGTTCTTTCTAATTAATGACGAAGGGAACATGATTTGATTCCGGGGTAACCAGATTTCTGGCAGATCAGGCTTAATTACATGAAATTAATTTAATTGAGCCTAACTAATCATTACTAAGTTCTTACCGCTCACGCGGCGTAAAGTACAATAATTTAGGGGACCAGGTTGATCTCTCATGCGACAGGATCCTAAATTATTGCCAAGACGGGCGAGCTTATGGCCCCTTAATCGTTACTAATCTCTTAGCGAACAATTAAGTGTGTGTCAATGTGTCCTAGAATAAACTAGATCTCTCTTAATTTATTCTACAAGCAATTGTAATTCTAGCGGTCGTTCTAGGTTACAAAAGATGTCAGTTAAATTATTCAAACACAAATTAAACGGCATTCATGCAATTAATCTATCAAGAATCTAGTCATACATCCTGATTAACCCCTTCATCAATCTCAAATCCCTAATTAAAACTACTCACAATTCATAATTGAAGAATCAACGGAATTGGGATGAATAGAACTAATTGTCATTAATTAAAAAAGATTGAACTTACAAAGAATCCCCAAATCTTAACAATCCAAAGCTTGAAAAGCTCTCCAAATTCGTCCTAGGGTTCATCTCTCTAAGCCCCCCCCCCCCCAAATTAGACAAATTGGGGACATATTTATAGAAAAATATTAAGATCACACTCAACTATGTATCATGAAATGTAATATATATTATCATATAATTAATTTGATGTACAATTGAGGATAACTTTCGACCAAAAACACTCTTGAATGGTCTAATTATTCACAAGTAATTAATAAGATGAAGGAAAAAAAGGATCCAAGCAAAAAATGAATTACATAGATACGAAGTGTATAAGAAGCTAAGTTTAATTAACTATTTAAAATAAGAACTGACCAGATTAAATAAATACTATGTACGTCCTACTAACATTGGGACAAGAGGATGTGACACGGTTACTAAGAGAAATGAGTTTATGTGATTGATATTAAATTTATAAAGTAAAAATAAAGTAAGAATTATTTAGAGTCACACAAGCTTTATCAAATTCGGTATGAGACCATCTTAGTGTGATTTTCTGAAAAGGTAAAATGTGACAACCTTAGCGGGATGAAGGGAGTACTAATGATTCACAAATAATTAATAAAATGACATAATTGAAATAATTATTAACCCTTGATCGTATATACACTAAGAACGAAAGTTTAACCATTGACAATGAAAATGGCTCAAAATTATGCAACAATAATTGTCGAGAATTTAAACATTTTTTCATTTAACAACGAAATAAATCACATACATTTTGAGAACTGAGGATCAACTTTTCTCAATAAACCATTATAACTTATGTGCAATTATATCAAATCGTCCCTAAAAGGATATTCAGTTTGATGTTTGCAAAATATAGCTTCAGGTTGTATGAAGGAAAAAAGTAAAAAAGAAGAACAACATGTTAAATTCAATCTAAGAGATTGTTTCTTTTGCGGTCTTTTAATTGATGAATTTGAGTTATGCAGATCGAGTTTGATGGGTCAAACTATAAAAATTCAAGATCCCAAAATATAACATAATAAGAATGAAAGGGTAAGTCAAGCATAAATTGTAAAAATGGAATGATTTAAAAAAGATGATTATTTCAGTCAATTCGTTACAGAAATATCCAATAAAGAAATAGATAAATTGGGGGGAAATACCTTTCTCGTGAGATGTTACCAACACTAACAGATAATAGAAAGGTTAAAGTGCTTTATTTCAAAGGGTCGAGTGATGTATTTGTAAGATGTTCTAGTCGAGGGGGGTTGGTTGGAAAATTACTTATAGCTCAAAACGTATTTTGACACTGTTTTTGAAATATAATGAATGATAGACTTGTTATGAACAATTCATATTATTGTCAACTACTACTCAAATGACAAACATATAGGACTAATATGAATGATTCATGGTATGATGGCCATGCTCATATGTGGCGGTGAACACAATCACTAGATTATATATAAAACAGGTGTTATG